ACACACACACACAAACACACACACAAACACACACACAAACACACAAACACACACACATACATGGAATGAAAAGTGCCTGGAATGAAAATTGCTGAATTTAAAAGACGATTAAAGACATACCTTTTTTTTATTATAGTTCATCTCTTTTCATTCTTGCTATTTTGTTATTAATATTAGTTATAATTTGATAGCGTTTGTGAAAACTGCTATAGTGAACGCTATATTAAGTTTTCTATTACTACTAATAATAATAATAATACATACTTATTCACACATACTTACACACGCACATATACATGTACGTACACACGGCACACAAACATACAACTCCAATCAGATTCACACAATTTGATATGTTGACATTGACGAGCTGTAAAAATATATTAGTATTATATTTTTCTCCTTTTGCTCTTTCTTTCTTTTCCTTCTCTCTCTCTCTTTTTTCTCTCTTTTCTCTCTTTATCTTTCACTCTCTCTCTTTTCTCTCTCTTTTTTCTTTCTCTCTTTTTTCTCTCTTTTTCTCTTTCTTTCTTTTATATTTTACAACTATAACGTAAAAGTTTATGGGGCGTATGTGAAATCGAAACTGAATGGATGGATGGATAGATGGATGAATAGATAGATAAATGGATGGAAAAACGAATGAATGAAAAAAACAAGTGGATGAAAAGACGAGTGACTGACTGAAAAGTAATAAAATTAACAAAAGAAAGAATAGAAATGTTTACAGTTGAAGGTAAGTAAAAAATTGTTAACAAAAAGTTTCTGTCTGGAGATAATTTTCACCGCAACATCATTATCAGCATCATCGTCGTCATCATCGTCATCATCGTCTTCATCGTCATCATCATCATCATCGTCGTCGTCATCATCATCATCTTCTTCTTCTTCATCATCATCATCACCATTGTTCGTACATCTTACATTAGGTTCAACGCAGTTCTACTCGATACAAGTTGCAAATAAAATCTCTCTCTGTTCCTTAGTCTCTCTCTTCCTCTTTCTCTCTTTTTTTCTTTCTCTCTCTCTTTCTCTTTATTTATCTCTCTCTTTCTTTCTGTTTCTTTCTTTTATCTCTACTTTCTCACATTTTGTATGCTGCCGTTTATGATGATTACAACAATAATACTACAACGATGATGATGATGAAATGAAGAAGAAGAAGATGAAGATAATGAAGATGAAGATAATGAAGATGAAGATGATGACGGTTGTGATGTTTTGTCTAAAGTACTAAGCTGCCAAAAACCAAAAAAAAAAAAATGAAAAAATATCGTCGACATATCAACAACAGCAGAAAATCTCATCAATAATTTTTTTTGCTTTCACAAATAAGACACGCACACACACACACACACAACACACACAACACACACAAACAGACACACGCACACAGATATAAATACACAATAAGGAGCGTTATCAAGTTACAGGGGTTTGACGAAGATGATTATTATTACTGTTTGTTATTGATAATAAGTTATAATACTACTAACCAGGCAATAATAATAATACCTGCATGTTATAATTTTTAATTCTGATAAGACCGCTTTTTCAATGGTTTTCTATAATTATTATTTATGGTATCACTGATTGATTTATTTTTTCAATAATTATAACGAGAAACAGAAAGAAGCAAAGATAGAGAGAAAGAAAGATAGATAGATGGATGGATGGATGGATGGAT